GTCCCATAAAAAATGGGCAAAGGATATAACAGACACTTCTTAAAAGAAGACATTTATGCAGGCAACAAACATAGGAAAAAAAGCTCATCATCACGGGTCACTAGAGAAATGCAAATCAAAACCACAATGAGATACCACCTCATGCCAGTTAGAATAACAATCATTAAAAAATCAGGAGACAGATGCTGGAGAGGATGTGGAAAAACAGGAATGATTTTACACTGTTGGTGGGAGTGTAAATTAATTCAACCATTGTGGAAGACAACCATTCTGGTGATTCCTCAAAGATTGGCCTAGAAACAGAAATTCCATTTGACCCAGCAATCCCATTACTGGGTATATACCCAAAAGATTATAAATCATTCTATTACAGAGACACATGCACACGTAAGTTTATTGTGGCACCGTTCACAATAGCAAAGATCTGGAACCAATCCAAATGCCCATCAGTGATAGACTGGATAAAGAAAATGTGGCACATATATACAATGGAATACTATGCAGCCATAAAAAAGGATGAGTTCATGTCCTTTGCAGAGACATGAATGAAACTGGAAACCATCATTCTCAGCAAAATGACACAAGAACAGAAACCAAACGCCGCAGGTTCTCACTTATAAGTGGTGGTGTTGAAAAATGATAATACACGGACACAGGGAGGGGACTATCACACTCCGGGGCCTGGGGGGTGAGGGGCTAGGGGAGGAATAGCAGGGGTGGGGGGATTGGGGAGGGATAGCATTAAGATGACAGGGCAATGGATGCAGCAAGCCACCACCATGGCAGGTATATACTTATGTAAGAAACCTGCACGATCTGCACATGTACCCCAGAACTTAAAGTATAATAAATAAATTTTTTTAAAAAAGGAAAATACAGAATAAGTTGTAGTTTAACCATATTTAAAAAAATAACTAAAATAGTAGAATTGGACTGTTTGTAATACAAAGAAGGATAAATGCTTTAGGTGTCCCATTTGAACTCATGGGATTATTACGCACTGTATACTTGTATCAAAATATCTCACGTACCCAATAAATATATACACCTACTATGTACCCACAATAGTTAATAATAAAACATTAAGAAAAAGGAGAAACTGACAGAGAGGAAAGACAAAGAAGACCCAAGATACACAAAGTGGAAATTCCTGAAGACTGAAGAAAGAGAACAGAATACTGGAAGTAGGGTATGGTGGCACATACCTATAATCCCAGCACTTTGGGAGGCTGAGGCAGGAGGATCACTAGAGGCCAGGAGTTTAAGATCAGCCTGGGAAACATAGCAAGACCCCAGTGCTCTTAGAAAAAATAAAAGAAGAGAGAAAGAGAGGAAAGAAAGAATAAAGAAAGACAGAATGAAGGAAAGGAGGGAGGGATGAACAAATGAAGGAGAGAAAGAGAGAGAGAAAGAAAGAGAAAGAGAGAAAGAGAAAAAGAGAGAGAAAGAGAAAAAGAGAGAGAAAGAGAAAAAGAGAGAGAGAGAAAGAGAGAGCAAGGGAGGGAGGGAAAAAAAGAGGGCGAAGGGAGGGAAGAAAACTGTAATTCAAGAGTACTTTCCTAAAATTGAGAGGAAAAAAAAAAAAGACTCCTAAAACTGAGAGGAACAAAAAAGATGGGAAGCTACATATTAAAAAGACAGACTATGATGAGGAAAACTACAATATTGATGAGAAAATTAAAGAACAATAGATATTTCAAACTTGTGGACAGAAAGCTTCAATATCATTAAGATGTCAGTTTTTTTCCAACTTGATCTTTGGGTTTAACATAATCCCAACCAACTCAGCAAGCTCTTTTGTGGATACAGACATAATAGCTCTAAAGTTTATACGGATATCCAAAAGACTGAGAACAGCCAATACATAACTGAAGGAGAACAAAGTGGGAGGACTGACACTATCTGACTTCAAGAAATACTATAAAGCTACAGTAATAAGGATATTGTGCTACTGGAAAAAGAACAGACAAAAAGTGCAATGAATAGAGCATTAAGAAATGGCTCCATACAAATATAGTCAACTGATCTTTGGCAAAGCAGCAAAGATAATTCACCAAAAAAGGAATAGTTTTTACAATAAGTGGTGCTAAAATAGTATACATCTACTTATGAAAAAAATGTTATCTAGGCACAGACCTTATAACTCTTCAAAAAAAAAATTACTCCAAATAAATCGTACAACTAAATATAAAATGCAAAACTAGGCTGAGTGCGGTGGCTCACGCCTGTAATCCCTCACTTTGGGAGGCAGAGGTGTATGGTTCACTTGAGCTCAGGAGTTTGAGACCAGCCTAGGCAACATGGTGAAATCCCATCTCTACAAAAAAATACAAAAATTAGCCAGGTACGATGATGCACACCTGTGGTCCCAGCCACTTGCAGGGCTGAGGTGGGAGGACAGTATGAGCCCAGGAGGTTGAGGCCACAGCAAGCCATGTTTGTGCCACTGTACTCCAGCTTGGGGACAAAGTGAGACTCTGTCTCCAAAAAAAAAAAAAAGCAAAAGTATATAAAAAATAACTCCTAGAATATAACATTGGAAAAATTTAGGTGACCCTGAGTTTGAAAGTGACTTTTTAGATAAAATACCAAAGGCATGATCCATTAAAAAAAAAAGAATTGATAAGCAGGGCTTCATTAAAATTAAAAAACTTCTGCTCTGTAAAAGCCAACAGTCCCACCCTAGGCAAACCCTGTCTTTACTAAAAATACAAAAATTAGCAAGGCATGGTGGTGCATACCTGTAGTACCAGCACTCAGGAAGTTGAGGTGAAAAGATCACCTGAGCCCAGGGAGGTTTAGGCTACAGTGAGCCATGATTTTGCCACTGCACTCTAGCCTGGGCAACGTCTCAAAAAAAAAAAAAAAAAAAAAAAAAAAAAAAAAAGACAATGTTAAGAGAACACGAAGACAAGCCACAGGAGAAAATACAGGTTGACTGTCTGTAATCCAAAATGCTCCAAAATATGAACCTTTTTGAACACTGTCATGATGCTCAAAGGAACGTTCATTGGAGTATTTTAGATTTTGGATTTTTTGATTAGAGATGCTCAACTCGTATAATGCAAATAGTCTAAAATCTGAAAGAAAAAAACAAAACAAAAAAAACCCCAATCCAAAACACATCTGATACCAAGCATTTCAGATAAGGGATACTCAATCTGTATTTGCAAAAGACATATTTGATAAAGAACTGTTAACCAAAATATACAAAGAATTTTTAAACTCGACAATAAGAAAATAAAGTACCCAATTTAAAAATGGGGGAAAGATCTCAACAGACAACTCACTAAGGTATACATGTGGCAAAGCAGCATATAGTAAGAAGCACTGAAAAGAGGTTCACCATCACATGTCGTTAGGAGACTGCAAATAAAAACAACAAGATACCACTGCACACCAATTAAAATAACCAAAATCCAAAACTCTGACAATACCGAACGCTGGAGAGGAGAGTAACAGGAACTCTCATTCATCCACTGCAAAATGGTACAGACAACGTTGGGAGATCGGTGGTTTCTTATAAAACTAAACATACTCTGCATACATCCAGCAACTGTATTCCTCTGTATTCATCCAAATGAACTGAAAACTTATGTCCATGCCAAAACCTGCTCATGGATGTTTATATCATCTTTATTCATAAATGCTATCACTTGGAAGCAATCACGATGTCTCTTTCAGTACATCTTGAAACTGGATAAACTGTGGCACATCCATACAATGTAACATTCTGTGCTAAAAAGTAATGAGCCATTGAGACACAAAACGATTACAGAGGAACCTTAAGTGTATATGACTAAGTGAAACCATCCAATCTGAAAAGAGTGCATACTGTATGAGTCCAGCTAGATGACATTCTGGAAAAGGCAACACTATGGAGATAGTAAAATAATCAGTGGTTGCCAGGGTTTGGAAGAAAGGAAGGGATAAATAAGCAGAGCACAGGGGGTTCTTGGGGCAGCAAATTATTCTGTAATAATGGTGGTTACATGGCATTATACATTTGTCAAAACCCAAGGAAATTAAAGCACCAAGAGTGAATTTTAATATAAAATATGCGCTTTGGTTATAATGGTGTGTCAATATTGGTTCATTGATTAAAACAAACGTACCTCTCTGGTGGTGGGGAAGGCTGTGTGTGCATGGGGGAAGGGCATATACAGGAACTCTGTACTTTTCACTCAACTTTACTATGTGTATGAGTCCTTTTCCATGCTGCTGATAAAGACATACCTGGGACTGGGCAATACATAAAAGAATGAGGTATAATTGAACTCACAGTTCCACATGGCAGGGGAGGCCTCACGATCATGGCAGAAGGCAAGGAGAGGCAAGTCACATCTTACATGAATGGTGGCAGGCAAAAAAAATTAGAGCTTGTGCAGAGAAACTGCTGTTTTTTAAAAACCATCAGATCTCATGAGACCCATTTACTATCATGAGAATAGCACAGGAAAGACCAGCCCCCAAGATTCAGGCATCTCTCACAACATGCGGAATTACTGGAGCTACAAGATGAGATTTGGGTGGGGATACAGAGCCAATTTGTATCACTATGAATCCAAAACTGCTCTAAAAAAGGTCTATCTTTTTTAAAAAGACACATTATGTATTGTACTAGAAAAACAAACTCAATGCCAAAATATATTTTAAGAAAATGATTGGACTTGAAGTAAAAAGAAAGATATACTTTCAGCATCCTAGCAAAAAGACCAAATCACTTGTAAGGTAAAGAAATTAAAACTGCCATCAGACTTTCTGTAGCAATGCTTTATACCAGAATATAATTAAATTATGTTAAAGACAAGGAAGAAGAAGTAAGCCAAGGATTTTATATGTAGCCAAAATGACCTTCACAAAGTCAAAAGACAAAATTTATGATAATGGAAAACCTCTGAGTTCATACAAGCCTTTCCTAAGGACTCTATCACAAAAAAAGTTTCAGGCAATCAGAATGAGTAGACACTGACATAGAAAAACTACTAGTTTCTCCTTACCACTTCTAATAGTTGTGTTTTCCAAAAGTTCTGTCTGAAGTTGTAGTTCAGCTTCTCCAAGTATCTTTAGAACAGAATCTGTCGGACTTCTCCCCCAGGCTCTTCTTGGAGATCCACTAGGATCTAATTTAATAACTTCTCCCACTGTGTTTCCTATAAGAAAAAGATACAAAGAAACAATTTTCAGTAACAGTATAATACTGCATGGTAAGGCAGACTTTGGGTCTTTTATCCAATTGAGTGCTTCATGAGAAAAAAAGGTTATACTGCAAAGACTTTCGGGGAAAGAATGATGAATAATGGCAAGAACAGAAGCAAATGAAACTAGCAATAAAAATATATCTATAATTGCCTTTTAGAGTATGAATTAAATTCTAGTTTGGGGGAATATAAAAATAGGAAAAAACCATAACTTAATAAAGGTTGAGTATCCCTTATCTGAAATGCTTGGGACCAGAAGTGTTTTGAATCTCAAATTTTTTTGGACTTTAAAATATGTGCATATACATAATGAGATATCTTGTTGATGGGACTGAAGTCTAAACATGAAATTCATTTATGTTTGTTTTTTAAGAGATACAGTCTATGTTGCCCAGGCTAGTCTTGGACTCCTGCGCTCAAATGATCATCCCACCTTGGTTTCCCAAAGTGCTGGGATTATAGGTGTGAACCACCACACCTGGCCTCATTTGTTTTACATCCATCTTATACACATAGACTGGAGGGAATTTTACATAATATTTTAAATAATTCTGTGAATAAAACAAAGTTTGTATACACAGAACCATCAGAAAGCAGTAGTGTCACTGTCCTGGCCATCCATGTGGGCCCTCAGAGGTTGTTTGGCATCACCATCATTCCTGACTCTGAGTTTATATGCTAATAAGCAATCATTTTCTTACACTTGTTCACACAAAAATATCTCATAGTTAAAAAAAAAAAGACATACCATTACAGTGAAACAAACGTGTTGAAGACAACTAAGCAGCACAGTATTATCACCAGAATACCTGGGAATTGCTAAACAACAGCAGGCTTTTAGTCTCTACCCACAAACCTGGACTTTGATGAAAAAGTTACTCTACACTGTCTTTCATTTTATTGGCAAAAAGAAGTACTGGAAGCAGTTGAGGGATCAGAATAGGATCAGAAGGGATGAGAGGGTATTCTATCAGACAGCTTTTTAAAATGACTGGGATGGTCTTTTTGCCCTTGGGGATGCTGAATAAAGCACGTGTTGTGCACCTGCACTTTGATTTTGACACATCACATGGGGTCAGATGTGGATTTTCCATTTACGGTGTCACACTAGTACTCAAAAGTTTCAGATTTTAGAACATTTTGGATTAGGAATGCTCAACCTGTATTATGTTTCTATAAAATCTTTATTTGAAAAAATAGAAAAAAACTAAGATAAGTCAATAACAATTGGGGGGAATATAAGAATAGAAGAGCCAAGCTATGCACAGCTAACTAAATTGTGTCCAAGAATATTTATAGAAACACAAAAATACATAGCACAAATATTAAAATTCACAATGTTCAGCACCCAAACAAAAATTATCAAGCAGGCACAGACCAGAATATTAACCATGGAAAAAGGAGGAAAAAAAATCAGTGAATCCAATCCAACCGCATGACAGAGATGATGTAACTAGACAAGGACATTTATAACTGTCATTGAATTCCGTATGTTCAACAAGCTAGAGAGAACAGTAACCATGACAGAGGTAAAGAAAACATTAATAAGATCCATATTTAACTCGTCTAAATGAAGTTCACATAAATGAACCTGCCCATTCAACTTGTCCATTCATACTGAAGACAGAAAAAACTAGACTAATGGCCACGAGTTTTTCAAGTTTGATGAAAACTATTAACTCATAAATCCAAGATGCTCAACAAAACCCAAGCAAAGGAAACATGATGAAAGTGACATTGAGGCACATCATAATCAAATTCACTGAAACCAAGGCTATAGGGAAAAATCTGAAAAGGAGCTAGAGAAAAAAGACACAGAGGAATAAAACTAAAAATAAGGGTAAAAGAAGACTTCTCATTGCGAATAATGTGCATAAGATGACAGTGAAGCAGCATCATTAAAGTACTAAAAGAAAAAATTTGCAATTCAGAATTCTATTTCTCAGAAAAAATATCGTTGCAAAAGGAAGGCAAAATAAAAACTTTTACAAACATTTGTATGTCTTTAAAATAAAAATGTTTACAGACATACAAATGTTGAATGAATCACCAGCAGGACTATACTACACAAAATCTAAAAAGAAGTCCTTCAGGCAGAAGAAAAATGATACAAAATAGAAATCTTCTACACAAAAGAAATGAAAACTACATGAGTAGACACAAAAGATTTTTTTTTCTCTTATTAGTGAAATCTTTTTAAAGAATAAATGACTATGCTGTATTATGGGATTTATAGCATTAAAAACAAAACAAAACAAAACAGTGTTACCAAAGGCTGGGAGGGGACAAATGTAAATACAGGTGACCCTCAAACAAAGGTTTGAAATGCCTGGGTCCGCTTATCCACAAATTTTCTTCCACCTACGCCACCCTTCAGACACCAACTTTTCGTCCACTTCAGCCTACTCAATGTGAAGATGATGTGGATAAAGACTTTTATGATGATCCACTTCCGCTTAATAGTAAATATATTTTCTCCTATAATTTTTTTAGTAACATTTTCTTTTCTCTTGCTTCCTTTATTGTAAGAACATAGTATATAGTACATATAACATGTAAAATATGTGTTAAATGACTTCATGTTATTGATAAGGCTTCTGGTCAACAGTAGGCTATTACTAGTTAAATTTTGAGGGAGTTAAGAATTACACATGGATTTTTGACTACCCTCTAATCCCCACACTATTCAAGGGTAAACTGTATATTATTGTAATATTCTTATACCATGTATGAAGTATAATAACCCAATTGAAGATACACTGTGATAAGTTAAAGATAATATACTAAAAACTCTTAAGCCAACACTGAAATAACAGAACAATGAGCTATTGCTAATAATTCAACAACAGAGGTAAAATGGAATAATAAAAAACAACTAACCCCAAAGAATGTAAAACAGGAGAAAAAAGGAAGGAAAGTATAGATGAGACAAACAAAAAACAAATAGAAAAATGGTACACAGACAGTCCCTGACTTACGATGGTTCAACCTAAGATTTTTCAACTATATAATGAGTTTATTAGACTGTAATCCCATTGTAAATTGAGGATCATCTGAATTTAAACCCAATCACATTAATAATCACATTAAATGTAAATGGTCTAAACATACCAGTTAAAGGTTATAAGAGTGGATTAAAAAGCAAACGTAACAACATGCTGCCCACAAGAAACCCACATTAAATATAAAGACACAAATAGATTAAGAGGACAAAAAAGGATAAAGATATACCAGGCTAACACTGAACAAGACAAAATAGGAGTGGCTATATCAATATCAAAGAAAGAAAACTTTTAATAAAGTAAAAAATTATTTTTAAAAAGAAACAAGCTAATAATTGCAACACAGATGATTCTCAAACATTATTACGTTTTCAGCGAGAGGTGAGAGATTAGGGGAAAAAATCGTTAGCCTTGAGTGAAAGAAGCCAGACACAAAAGAGTACAAACTGTTAGTCTATATGCTATTCTAGAACAGGAACAGCTATTCTAAGGTAGAAAAAAAAATTCAGAAAAAGTTGCCCCTGGAAGGCTAAGAACAGAGAATGACCAGGCAGGGGCAAACTTTCTGGGGTGATGGTAATGTTGTATAACTTGACAGGGGTTCTTATTTTGTAGGTCCCAGAATTTGTTAAAAACCAGCTAATATACATTTACAATTTGTGCATTTCATTGTATGTAAATTTAACATAAAGGAAAACATTTCTAACAAACACTGAACTCTAATTAATTATATGCTGTGAGACACCTAGGGCAAAGTATACCAATATCTGCAATTTGCTCTGAATTGCATGAAACGATGACATACCAATTGATAGCTAGAAGGATGGACAGATATGTGACATAGCAAACATGCTAAAATGTTAATGGAAAATTTTAAATTTAATTGAAATAGAGAATATTTAGTGTCCACTGTGAAATTATTTCAATTTTATCATAGATTTTACATTTTTCATAATGAAATTCTGGGAAAAGGACAAGGAAATTGTTTATGCAGTGGTATGAAAAGATCTATAAAATATGCTTATAATAAGCAAAAATAAGATCAGAGAAGTACAAACAACAGAAATAAAATAATATATTAAAATAACTACATGTGACAAATAATGTAAAACAAAGGGGAAATGTGCTCTTCTTTATACGTATCTACACACACATGGACACACAGGTACACATATATATGATGAGCTCTGGAAAGATAAATAATAAGCTAGTATCAGTGGTCATCTAACAATAGGGAAGGAAATGGAGTGGATAAGGTGGGACAGAACTGTACATTCTTTATACTTTGTGATTTTTATCATGTAAGTACATTGTGTATTTAATAAATACTACTTTTAAACTCTGGAGAAATATTTGCATAATAGTATGCTCAGTCTCATCCTAATTCTATATGAAGGTGTTTTTTGTTTTTATTGTCTAAGAAGGTTCTTTTAATAAGGTATTTAATAGGTCCTCATATTTGTCTGAGTTAGGCCTATATAATAATTCAAGATTCCAGGAAACTAGTTTCATTTCTAAAGAATAAACAGGTTACCTGATTCTTGTTTGTGATTTGTACATGACTGATCTTTCTACTGTAATAAGAAAATAAGGCAGCAATTTTCTCAATGTCTATAAAACTTTTATTTTTTTTTTAAATTATACTTTAAGTTCTGGAATACATGTGCAGAACATGCAGATTTGTTACGTAGGTATACATGTGCCATGGTGGTTTGCTGCACCCAGCAACCCATCATCTACACTACTTATTTCTCCTAATGCTATCCCTCTCCTTGCTGCCCACACCCCAAAAGGCCCCGGTGTGTGATGTTCCCCTCCCTGTGTCCATATGTCCTACTTATGAGTGAGAACATGCGGTGTTTGGTTTTCTCTTCCTGTGTTAGTTTGCTGAGAATGATGGTTTCCAGCTTCACCCATGTCCCTGCAAAAGACATGAACTCATCCTTTATG